TTACAAATAAATTTCACATTTATAACCAGTCACATGTTTTTTTTTATGACTTTTTATGTGTTAGTTTCTGAGTCCAACTATAGTGTATTAACATTTACCAAAAAAAAAACCTATGGTGTATTAATGAATAGTTATGACATGTTAAATCAAGATTTCAATTGACCGTGTTAAAGATACTACATTGTTTAATTATCTTTCATTGATTCACATTAGTAAGGGGTTTGGGAACTTCAACCTTAATTTTGAAATAAATCATTTCTATCGACCCCGATCCCTATTAGGGATAAAAGTTACCCTCTATCCCCAATCCCAATAGAAATGGATTCCCTGTGGGGACTTGAATTCTTGAAATATTGTAATTAAAAGTAATTTTTGGAAAATAAAATTTTCAGATATAAGTAATATTTTAATATATAAACAATATTATATATAATCAGGGTTAGGGTAGGGTGGAGACTTCACTCCCCCATCTTAGAATCGGGGATCCCTATTAATACCTATCCTCATTCTAGCCCCTGCCAAGACTAAGGGTGTCAATGGACCAGTTTTGGATTGGACCCCATCTAGTCCAAAATCAATTTCGACGGATTGGATGGACCAACAAGACATATTGGATTGAACCAATCCAGTCCAAAATATTTATTAGATTGGACTGGACCTGGTCTGTTCATAACAAATTTATATTGGATTAGGTTGGATTAAGCCAACATCTAGTCCATTGGTATAAGATAAGAATATATGTGTCAATGAATCAGGTTTGGGTTGAAACCAATCTAAATCAAAATGAACTTGAACATATTGGATGGTCCAGACATTGAATTGGACCGGGTCTATTTATAATAGACTCACATTGGACTGGATCGGATTGGACCAAATCCAATCCAATTGACACCCCTAGCCAAGACAATCTCCATCCCTAACCCAATGGGGTTAGAGAGACTGGTACCTAGTGAGGATGGGAAAAATTGCAATCCCTATAATTATGCAGTTACCATCAAAACTTTATATAATAAATTTATAGATATCAAATGTGATATATTGTTTTAGCATTGGCCAATATTTTTTGGATAAATTGTAGATTAGTACTTTATACTTTGGTACCTAGACTTTAAAACGTACTTGTAAGTACATATAATTTACCATCACTAGAATTACAAAAACCATATGGAGGAATCCTGACTGGGATACCCCTATAGTGGTATAAAAACACTCTATCAAAATGATGGAAAGTTCATACACTTGCGATGAGCAATTGAGCACACAGAGCCACTTAGGACATGCAATGGGTATGAAAATGCCTTTTAGGATTTGTGATGAGCACAGAGGGCCCATTTCTCTCTCTCTCTCTCTCTCTCTCCATTACTCCCACCCTACATTCTCATCGACACTCCTTACTCCATTACCCCCACCCTACAATTTCATCGATTCTCCCTCCTCTCCCCTTTCCACCACTCCCATTAAGTCATGTCACCATTCCCAAACCAACTACCTAAAAATATTCCTACAATCTCTCTCCTAAGATATCTCCTCTAAGTCATTAGGAACTTATCATGTTATTTCACTCACCCAATCATTTCCTAAAATCTATCCCCCTAATCTATATCCACCCTCTCTCAATTAAAATATTAATATTAATTAATAAATAGTTAAATATGATTAACATTTAATCCAATCCATATTCAATGATTATTAAATAGTGTTATTACAAAAAAGTTAATAAATACAGAAAATTACCAAAAATTAATAAATACTATTATTAATTAACTCATCATGACTTTTTAAAGTATTTTGGGTAAATATTGTCATATTCATGTTAATTAACAACATTTTATAGAAATTTAAAACTCTTTAACTAATTTTCTATAAAATTGAGAATTACATTTAATAATTATCAAAAAGTATAAAATTTTAGTTATTGTTATTATTATAGCTAATAACTGAGTGAAGTTGGGGGAATAAAATATTATAATGTTGAAAAATGAAATTATTAATTAGTTTATATGGGAAACTAAAAGATAAATTAGTGTAATTTTGTTAGTCAACTACCTAATAAAAATAAATATTTAATAACAATTTAAAATAAATTTCAATAAATCTTCATAAATGTAATAAAATTTTCATAAAACTACATTTTCAAAAAATAACATAATGGAAATTAAAAGATATAAAATTATTGAAAGTTTATCTAAAATGTATTAAATAATTATTGAAAATTATTAGAATATTTTGGAAATTTTAGAAGAAGTTATTACATTTGGTAGATTTTGGAAAAACTATTGAAATTTTATCTAATTTTCATTGTAAATTATTGAAAATTATCAAAGATAAATGAGTATGGAAAAGGGGAAATTGTAATTTGAACCAATAGTTCCATAAAATATTAAGATAAATTAGTATAATATTGGAAAAAGGAAATTATTAATTAGTTTATATTAGAAAATATAAGATAAATTAGTGTAATTTTGTAGGTAAACCATTTAAAAGGAAAATAAATTATTTAAAAACAATTTAAAAATAAATTTGATTTTTTTTTTCAAAATTACACACATGTAATAAATTTACCAAAATATTCATAGAACTACATTTTTGAAAATTAAAGACAATTTAGTGTATTGTTAGTAGACCTAGGAACAAGTTGACCCAACCCGTGAACCCGACCCAACCCAACCCGAACAAACAAGGTTAGGGTCTCATATTTTTAGCTACCCGAATGTGAAAATGACCCGACCCGACCCAAACCTGAAAAAAACTGGGTTGGGTTGGGTCATGGGTCAACCTGTTGACTCAATTGTCAAGTATAATTGAGATTATTTATGCATTGTTAGAAGTTTCCACTCTTTATTTTTTTTCTATTAATTTTTATTTTTTACTCTTTAAATTGTTAAATGTTCAAGTTTTTTATTTTATATTTGGACTTTGAAGGTTAATTCTTTTAATTTTAACATTTTTCATGTAATTTTTCTTTATTTTTTTGAATTTCAAATATTTTTTGGGATGACCCAAATTGATCCATGGGTCAACCCTAACCCGAACATTTAGCGTTAGGGTCTAGCACTTGACAACCCAGCCCGACCTGAAATCAACCCGAAGTACCTTGACCCAACCCGAACTCGACCTACCCAGCCCAATTGCCAGGTTTAATTGTTAGAAATTTACCATGCGGTTGATATTGAGTATATCCTTTCGGTCATTTTTGTCATCAAATTGAATACTAGGTTGATAGGGAGTGAGTGCCTTGCCTTGAACCTGCCCAACATTGGGAGTGGGGCGGGGAAAATTTGAGGATTCCCTATCCTTGATGAGGAGTGGGTGCCTTAACCTAAATCACCCAACATTGAAGACAATGAGGAGAAATTTGAGGATTCCCCATCCTTAACAGGGAGTGGGTGCCTTCCCTTGGACCCGCATGATACTAGGGACAGGGCTGAGATGGGGTAAAGTGTCTTGACTAAGGGGCGGGGACAGGGATGGGGTGCCCCGCCTTGTTGCCATTCCTATATAATTCATAATTATTAGTGAAATTAATAAAAATGTTAGCTTTGACCTTTGGTAATTATTTTTATTTATTTAAAGTCAATCAGAATTTCATTTAAAAATAATAAAAATAATAACAGTTATTAAAATTACTACAAATGATTAATAAAATTAAATTTATTAAAAATATGTGTTCATATTAAATTAACAATAATTATTTTATGTAAATCAACATTAAATGAAAAATAAAATTATTAAAATTTTAAATATTAACAATAACTTTGAATACTTTTAGTTAATTAACATCAAATTTTGATTATTAGTTTATCAATTAATTAATAGTAAATACAATTATTCAATCTTTCAGATTTATGCACGGATACCCACTGGTAATGAAGCAAACCAAGTCAAATACAATGTGACAAGAATAAATAGCTGGCACTTTGCAGTCTTCACTTTGTTCATATTAAATTAACAATAATTATTTTTTGTAAATCAACATTAAATAAAAAATAAAATTATCAAAAATTTAAATATTGATAATAACTTTAAATACTTTTAGTTAATTAACAATAATTAATTATTAGTTTATCAGTTAATTAAATATTCAATCTTTCAGATTTATGCACTGATCCCCACTAGTAATTAAGCAAACCAAGTCAAATACAATGTGATGAGAATATACAGCTGGGACTTGTCGGCAGTGTTCACCGTTTTTTTTGGTAAATGGCGGTGTTCACTTCAGTCATAGGTGAGCATTATTCGGTTAAAACCGAATTACCGAATAAGATCGGAATTCTACCTGCATTAGGTTAGCATCAACCCCCAGAATTCTACCTGCATTAGCCTTCGCACTGCACACTTTCATTGTTCAGATCTTGAAATGGAAAAGCCATGTATTTCCATCCAAAATTTCGAACGGAACACCGGCCGTGGTAATCTCTAATTCGATCGGATCATTCTCCTCCGTGAATGTGTAATGTCCTCTGGAATTGAAAGTCCATGGTTCCATTTCCAACAATCTGAAAGCCATACCTCTAACCGGTCGAGTTGCTCCATACTGATCCTTGGGGTTTGGCGAGCAGAGATAGAAAGCTTTTGACGAATCTCCGAATCGCGTGGAGTCGAAATGGAATCCCTCCGAGTCCAAACACTCCGGATCTCCTGTCCACGAGAATCCTATCCACGCTTATCCACAATACATTATTCCCGTGAATTGAGAACATCTCTCGTGTATGACTGCAACAAACGTGGAGAGGATTCCCGTGGGCAGGAGATCCGGGTTCGAATCCAAACGCAGGCGATCCGAAGTATTAGGCTTTCTCCATAGACCATAGTCATCCTTATCCATCCGTTGATGTTGATGTTGATGTTTTGTCGTCCGTTAGTCAATATTTGAGGCAGGGCCCGTTGAAGGATGAAGCATTGAAGCTGAGCTCTTGATGACTACATACACGTGGCGGGTGTAGGGACGTTCAGCATATCGGTCCCACGATTGGTTTACCACATCTTTAACACAACAACTCAATCGACGCGACTGTGGCGCGAGACCGCGAGACCGCGAGACGGCGAGACGACGGTAGAAATTATTGGAGAAGATCACGCCGACGCGGTTGGATTTCTTAACAATTATTTAACATTTGTTCAAATATATACAAAGTACAGCAAAAAAGAGTTTTGATTTCAAACCCTATTATATAAGTTTTTTTCCTAATCCATCTCTTATAAATATAGATTCAACCAAATCTGATGTTACAGCTTACAGGTTAGCTTGTTTTTCTGTTTTGTAAATGATTTGATACGCTCGTTGATTTCCATTTTGTAAATGGTTTGATACATCCGTTGGTGAATCAGGAGCTCTGTTTTTCTTGTGTTAGCAGCTAGATCTCTGATTCCTTTGGTTTGTCTGCGGAACCTCTTTGTTTGTTGATGGTCATCTAAGTTGCTCCAAGTCTAGAGTCCACTTCCAGAAGAGGAGCGATTCGTTTCGAACTCCGCCCTGGTAATATCTTTCTTCCCAACTTCTGAAACTTTTTCATATGTTTGAATATTTTCTTTGAACTTCGTATGCTGAAACCTTGCATGTCGTCTGCTCTGTTTTGTTCAATGTATTGTATCACTCCAGTTGGTCATGCAGCTAAAGATTTCTTGGTACTCTTACTTGTTTAAGATATGCAACATTAATCAGCCAATACAGAGCTACTGCTCTTTATTATATAACAAAACAGCTTATTAATAACGCTTAACAATGTCATCTTTTTACGCCATCGAACTGGCCATGAGCTTTCCGAAGATATTCTCGTTTGGAAAAGAGAGAAGTGCTATTGTACCAAAAAAAGACAAAAGAAATGATAAAAGGTGTCGTTTCAAGAAGTTCAGTTGTTCATACTCTCTAGAAACAATCTGAATTCCGGTAAGACCCATTGGAGAAAGTTGATTACCAGGTTTTCTACTCGCACGGGCTAGTTTATCCTTGTGCAACTTCTCTCAAGGGTAAATGTTAAACTGCTTATACATTTCAGATTTTCAGGCACCCTTTACCAAAAAAAAAACCATTTCAGGCATCGGACTTGTTTTAGCTTCAAGTTTGGTCGAGTATCATGCAGAAATCTGAGTTTCAGTTCCTTGATTCATAACCGGGACTGAGCGCTTTCAATATTTTCTTTGGTAATGATGCAGAGCTAACTGGGATTTAGTCAATCAAGAAGTTCCTTTAGTGATTTGATTGAAGTTGTCATTGTCTTTTTTGTTATTTGAATCCTTTTTCAAAACCAATTGGATGGAGTGGAAACGCACCACACAACATACATATACTTGTAGATATTATGAGTGTGTTCATACATCAGCGACTCTTCTGTACAAATAATAGATGGAAGAGCAAATTAAAGTTGTACTTATCTGGCTCACCATGAAAGCACAGTTTTTTCCAAGCTCATTATGGTTTGATTGTTGGTTCTGTTCCTTTATTTTATTTATTTTCTTTTTAGCTATTCTTTGGCCTTATATTCATGAACTCTGTTATATTATATTTTAAACTGGCACTCTAAGAAAAATAACTAAATAAGTAGCAGTATTCTATTACTGCTGAATAGCATATATCTAATCTAGATTTTATGTTCATTACCTTACCAACAATGCACATTAAAGCAGCTTGATCCTTGGTTAATTCCTTTCCCTTGTGCGGTTGTTGTATTCATCTGTCAGTGTTTTCTGAAAAGAAACTTTCAATTGCAAAATGACATATTCTTATTGGAATCTCATTGAAATCCTGAGTTTCATATTAAACAATTTGGTAATTTCATGAATAATTGCATATTTCTATGGTGTGGAGTTGCAAATTTGTACCATGCCATGATAAACTTTTATCTTTTGAATTATCATTATTTTAAAGAACATTAAATTCATATTCATACTGAAATTTCATTGCAAATTATACCCTTTCACAATTCTTCTGTTAATATTATTGGGGGGAAGAGAATGTTAACCTAGTTGCCTGCATACTTCTCCAGATGCTATTTTGTAAAATTTTATGAATTGCCTTGTTTCTTCTGGAACTACAATTGTTGCCATCTTATTTGACACTCTTTTTTTTCTCACTCTAATGGCTAAACATGCTTATCTGTTATTTTTTGCTATTAGTTGCATTGGTTTTACTGAAAGATGGTTGAATTCGGGAAAAAGTTGAAGGAAAGACAAATTCAGGAATGGCAAGGGTATGTTTGATGTCCATCTGCTGGACTCTTGTTATCTTATTTTGTTTATTAGAAAATTATTTGGTTATCTGTTTGAAGTGTTTCCTGTTTTTAGTCTGCCTGACTTTTGTCATTGAAGAGTTGTGGCAATTGAATATAATAAATCCTTAGTTATCAGTTGGAAATGGTTTTGGTTTGCTAATTTGTCTCTCAACCCTATAAGATATTAGCACATTACTTACTTATCGTTCTGCTGCTGTCTTCTGTCTGTTGTGATTGGTGATTGTACATGCACATAGTTTAAGACTTGCATGTAGAATGTGGTAACCCAAAATATTTAAGGAAAAGGACATCAAATGAACCTTGAACATGTGAAAACTCCAATTAACAGTTCCTACCATCCATCAATGAACACCTACAAAACTTTCCAAGGATTGCATTAATTTGGATAAATAGGCTTTACGTGAAAACTGCATATAGTTGCTTCAGAAACTATTAGAAGAATTAAGCTTACTACCTAAAGTTAGTATTTCAAACTCTTTTCTTTATAGATGCATTACAATGTTGAATGCTGTTAAAAGAACTGTTTCTATTTTTTGATGGTAACCAAACTTCTATGGAATGATTTTAAAAGAATACTGTGTACATAGTGTTGTGCCAGATACACCCCTTCATTGGCCTAGTAACTGCACTAGCCACCCATCATCATATTATAGAGGTCCCTCAATGGACCAAACCCCAAAAAGTTTGTTCCCTGGTTGCACTTTGTTTGGCAGCGCATCAGCCAGGCTGTTGGCAAACTTGTTGTCCACTTATAACATATTCTTAGTTCTTCAGTCAGTTTCTTAATCTCCCTTAAAATGCTTCTGTAAACCCATGAATCATTGTTACTCTCTTTTAGCCATTGTACTATTCTTTTTGAGTTCCCTCCCACTTTCAACTTGTCCTGCCTAGATTGGCTAGTTTATGTCCCTGGAACACATCCAGTAACTTGGCTCTTGTTGAATTCCCATGATCAATTGGTTCTGGGTTCCCAAGACCACTTCCGTTGACGTTTAGTTTGATGCATCCTCTTTGTGGTGGAGACCAAGTAGGGGAAGGGTGTGTGGATTAAGTAATGATGATTTTGCCACTTGAGGCCAACTTTTGATGATATCATCTATGGAGATTTCTTTGAATGCCTTCAAAGTCTTCGCTGAATGTTCTATCCTTACTATGATATTTTCAATGATTCTTCTGTACTTTTATTTTTTCTCCCCAAAAATTATGTTATTTTTCTCAAAACAAATTATGTTATTTCTTTCTTTCTTCCCATAAGCTCCATAAGCAGCTGTTCTAGCACATTTCTATAAAATCTTCCCTCTCTTCTTAGGGGGTTAGAAAAAAAGCTGACACCCTATTGCACAAAAGAAGAGTTTGAGGTGGCAAAATGTTTGAACCTGCAATTTCAATGTCTATGCAAAAGAAGCTTGTCTGTTTCATCTTCTTTTGCTTTCTTCTTCCTCAGAAATTCCATATACAAGTTAGCATTAATTATTTATGTTTAAAGTTGAATATTCATATATTCTATTTTATCAACTGGTATGCTTAATTTTGGTTTTCTCCAGTTATTACATCAATTACAAGCTAATGAAGAAGAAGGTGAAACAATATTCTCAACAAATTCAAGTTGGAGCTCAAGATCGCCGCCATGTTCTCAAGGAATTCTCAAGAATGCTTGATATTCAGGTATCAGGAAGTTATATATGGAACATCTAATTAGTTTATACAAAAAAATAGCACTTGGCAATTAGTTTTATCCTATTTTTCAAGGACAAATTTTCCTACCCAATTAAGTATTATTGTTATTTGATTACTTGATTACTTCTCTCTTTAAGTAAATAGTACATTAAATATCATTGTATATATTAGTATAATAAATGATTCTCATAATTCATTCATAAAAAACTGATTATCATAATTTTTTGTTTAATTGCACTCCTAAAAGTAAGTTAAATGCTATCACTTGTAATCTTTTTCCCATCTCTTGTCTCTTTGGATTATGAAACTCCACCATTTGTTTCACCTTAATTAATGCATAACTATGATTTGCATGTATACATTTTAAAAATATATAAAAAAAAGATTATGAGTCCCTCAACTTGTGTAGCATGGAGGGCTTAGCTAATTTATGTATTCTTGATAGGTAATGCAATTCATTAACTATCAAAAGCGAAACGTGAAAGATACAAGAGGAGAGGAAGGTAAAGAAAAAACAGTAAATAAAAAAAGTGGGTGTTTCAATTATTGGTAGAATTGAAAGGATGTTGATGAGCTGGACGACCTGTTTGACTCTTTTGATGGGTGTTTCAGCCAATTCTTTTTTTTATCCATTGGCTGTCCTTTTTTTTTGAGCTTTTTTTTCGTAAAGAATCTGAATGTACATCATCTATGCATATCAAAAGAGGCACCATCTTTTATATATGTGGTTGAGGTATTCTCTCCCTCCCATTTTTTGAATTATAATGCACATACTTCATTATCTTTAAAAAAAAAGAAAAAAAATTAACAAAGAAACTCTAACAAAACTGCATACCTCATTATCCCAACCCAAGCCTGGCCCGATTATATACATGCTTATATATATAGACACATATTTGCATGCGTACATGCATATGTGCATATTTTTTTTTTTAATAAACCATACATATATGATATATCAGTACATATACATACACATGTATATCAAGTTTTAATATGGGCTGGATTGACTAACTCGAGCCCAACCGGGGCCCGGGCCCAACCCGAGTGCATCAAATACCAGTGCAGGCTGGGCTTGGGTTGGATAATTTGGGCTCGTCCTCGGACTCGGGCTTTGAGCCCAAATTTTAGGTTTAGGCTTGGGTTGAGCTAAAACCTGGCCCAGCCTGCCCGACTTGCACCCCTAGGCAATAAGCACACAATTGATTGTAGTGTTCAGTTGGCATATCCCTCTTTCTCTTTCCATTACAAAAAGTTAACTCTCTCATCATCAAGATAGGAGTAGTGGCCATAATGCTGGGAGCATTGTCGACTGGGTTCTCATCAACAGGAATCTCTTCTAAACTAGAAATAGTGGCCTCAGTAGAAGGGGAAGCTTCTTTAGAGGGAGTAGTTGGAAAAAACGGGGATGAGGTAGGAGTAGAGACAAAAAGATTACCCTCAGAGGAAATCTTTTAAGACCAATAGCTGTGGCAACCAAAGGCCCATGTACGAGAACAGACAGCCTACATATCAGGTTTACAAGAAAAGGAAGCCACATCAGCAAGAAGTTAAAGCAAGTGGTAGGCTGTTAAAGCAATGTAACAGTCTTGTAACAAACTGTAAACAGCTTACCTGAGCTATAAAGGCCAAAGGAAGGAAAGATTAGGAGGAAATTCCATTCGAACATCCTCATCTCTCTCTCTGAGTGTCTTTGCAAATTACTCTAGACATGGGCCCGGCATTTAGTGGACTTGCAAATTACTCTAGATATTCTCTTACAAAAGTAGTTGTATGCCAAAGAATTGAAGTGTGCCTTTGGGCAAGCCTGTGTACACTATTTGGGCCATGTGGTGGAAGATGGAATGGTCTCAGCAGATCCAAACAAGATATCTACTATTCGACAGTAGTCAGTCCCACGTAACATTAAGGAACCCTGGGATTTTCTAGGATCGACGGGGTACTACTGTCGTTTCATTAAAAGCTATGGTGATGTGGGTGCCGGCAGCAGCAGCAGTAATTTAGTGTTCTCAGCAGCAGCAATTTAGTGTTCTCATCCTATCTTATCTATTCAGTATTCTTACCTTATCTGCTTTCAGTAGCAGGGATTAGTAGGAGTCTTATCTATTCAGTGTTCTTATCTTATCAGTTCAGTAGTATGGATTAGATTACCTTCTCTTATCTTATCTTATTAGGTTGCCTTATCTTATCAGATTAGGATTAAGAGAGACTTATCTTATTAGATTAGGATTAGGAGAAACTTATCTTATCTTATCAGTCTTATCTTATCAAGATAGAACTGGAGGTCTCCCTATTCAGCAAGGAGTCTCCCTAAGAGCAGGACTTTTGTAATCTCCTATTTAAGGAGCCACTATTATTGAATAAAGGCATCGAATATTCAGTCAAGAAGAGAGTAAGGAGAGTTGGTGATCTCTTGAACAAGTCACCAAGGCGCCAAGATAGGTACCTCAAGAAAAGGAAGGGACAAGGGAAAACAGGAGGTTTTCCCCGTGGACCGACCCGTGACGAGATCCTATTCGCGGGCCCATAACATATGGGTTAATTACTACACCGCTGACACCCTTCTAAAGAAGGACTCTTTCATTTAGAATAACAAAGCTCGTCTTATTTGAAGCCTTAAGAGCAGTGGTGTCATCCCCACCAGCCCCGACTCTACTAGATTTCAACAAGCCTTTTGTGGTCGAGTGTGATGCATCGAGTCTGGGCATGGGAGCAGTGCTGATGCAAGATGGACAGCTCCTTGCCTTCTTTAGTAAGGCCTTATCTTCGACTCAAGATCACTCTTCAGTCTACAACTGAGAATTGATGGCGCCATGGCAGTTGTATTGGCAGTTCAGCATTGGTGCTCCTACTTATTGGGCCGTAAGTTTGTGATTAAGACTAATCACCAAAGCTTGAAGTTCCTACTGGAACAACGGGTCCTTTCTCTAGATCAGCAGTGTTGGGTTTCAAAGTTAATGGGATTCGACTACACTATTGAATAAAAACCTGGGGCAACAAATAGAGTTGCTGATGTGTTGTCATGGCAACCCAAACAACTGGTGGATAGCCTATTCCAATTGCAAGTGTTTCAGCAACACACTATAGTACTGTGGGACCAATTATGGGAGGAAGCGACCAATAATAAGGAACTCCAAGCAATCAAGGACCAGTTACTACAACACCCCGGTATCAAACCAGGGTATTCTATCCAAGGGTCAGTGCTGTACTATAAAAGTAGAATGGAGTTACCAACAGACTCAACCCTTTTGGACCAACTACTGGATTACTTCCATGCAACACCACTGGGTGGACATTCAGGGGTCCTACGCACATATAAGGGGGCGCCTTTGCAATTTTATTGGACGGGTATGCTAAAATCCATAATGAAATACGTATCCATGTGCCAGGTGTGTCAACAGTGCAAGTATGAGGCCCAATCTCCAGTGAGCCTGCTGAAACCTTTACCCATACCTAGCCAAGTTTGGGAAGATATTTTTATGGATTTTGTCACTGGCCTACCAACCTCCGCCGATAAATCTGTCATCTTAGTGGTTGTTGATTGCCTTACAAAATACAACCACTTCTTAGCATTGTCACATCCAATCACTACGGCTACAGTGGCCAACATTTTTTTGGGAAATAGCTCGTCTTCATGACTTCCCAAAATCTATTGTTTCTGATAGAGATCCAATCTTTATCAGCCTCTTTTGGAAAGAACTTTTTCGCCTCTAAGGCGTACAACTGAGCAAATCTACAAGCTACCGTCCACAATTGGATGGGCAAACAAAGGTGGTCAACCGTTGCTTAGAAACATACTTACGATGCTTCACTGGAACCAAGCCACAATGGTTAACTAGTTGCATTGGGATGAATGTGGTACAATACCACCTATTAGATATCAGCAGGAATGACCCCTTTTCGGGCATTATATGGTCGTGATCCACCTACACTAATTCCCTATGAGAGGGGCTCTATTTCTATAGCAGTAACCCCACTAGAAAAATACCTGTTTAATTGAGACGTCATTCTACAAGAACTTAAACAGAACCTGCTTCGGGCCCAACAATGGATGAAACAGTCATATTATAAACATCATAGAGAAGTACACTATCATGTGGGTGACATGGTTTACTTGAAATTGCTTCCCTACAAGTTGCTTTCAGTACAAAAACAACGATGGAACAAACTGGTGCTCTACTACTTTGGACCTTTCAAGATTATGGAGAAGATTGGACCTCTTGCATACCGTTTGGACCTTCCACCGGATTCAAGAGTGCACCCTGTTTTCCATGTCTTAGTTCTCAATAAGTGTTTGAAACCAGATGCTATAACACAACCGTATCTCCCCAAATTTTCAAGCGATACTAGAAACAGAGCTAGTGCACATCACTGATTTTAGGTGGGTCAAGAAAGGCTCCCACATTGTTCCAGAAGCTTTAATCGTATGGTCACAATTGCCTGAAGAGGATGCAACATAGGAACCTTATTTGCAATTACAACATTAGTTTCCTCACATTGACCTTGAGGACAAGGTCCAGCTCAACCAGGGGGGAATTGTTAAGACCAATAGTTGTGGCAAGCCAAGGCCCATGTACGAGAACAGCCAGCCTACATATCAGGTTTACAAGGAAAAGAAGCCACATCAGCAAGAAGTTAAACCAAGTGGGTAGGCTGTTAAAGCAATGTAACAGTCTTGTGACAAATCGTAAGCAACTTACCTGAGCTATAAAGGCTAGAGGAGGGAAAGATCAGGAGGAAATTCCATTTGAACATCCTCCTCTGTGTGTGTGTGTAGGACTACTGCAGACTAGGGATAGATGCTAGAAACACGTGCGTCTTTAATTTATGCGCGTGATGGGACGCTCTGTGGGCCTAATAAAGGCGTGCCAGCTAAATAATGAAGTCATTCGTGCCACGTCAGTTAAATGGGTCACGAAAGGAAGTAGCACACGCGGATTATGAGAATCCTCAGACGAAAGGAAAGTTCTTCCCAGAGATATCTCATAAGACACGTGGCAAAACCCTAGCAGTGTTCCTTGACAACTGACAATGAATCCAATATTCCCTTTCCTAGTGGGAATCATATGCTTTTTTCTCCTTTCTTTCGGGACCTCGGGATCTCTCCCTATAAATAGGGGTCCATCTCATAATGAAATCATCATCCTATCATTCTCATTTGCCCTAGCCTTCAACCTACCTCCTGTATCCAGTCTTCTTTTGTCATTCAAGGAGATCCCCGTACGTAGCCTCACCACCACACTTACACAGTGTTGTGCCTAGGCCTAGTGTTGAAGCTGAATACCGGGCTATGTCTCATGGAGTGGCTGCGATCATGCGGATTAAGAATTAGTTGGGTGAATTGGGATTTACTATGGATAGTCCCATGTTCTTATATTGTGATAACAAGGCAACTATCAATATTGCAGCTAATCTTGTGCTTCATGATAGGACCATGCATATTGAGGTGGATAAGCACTTTATTAGGGAGAAGCTTGTTAGTGGAGAAGTATGTACACCCTATGTTAGTTTTGAAGAGCAGGTTGCAGACATCTTCACTAAGGGTTTACATCACTTGCGGCATAATGATTTGTGTGACAAGTTGGGCATGATTGACATCTATGTTCCAACTTGAGGGGGAGTGTTGAAAATGATGTATTCTTTATATTTAGTGTTGTAAGGGCACTGCTGTCAGCAACCCAAAAATCTGATTTTGAACTAGTCCAGAACTGATTGAAGAGCCTTGAACCACAGCCTTTCTTCTATCAGCAACCCAGAAATCTTCTTGGATTGCTGTGCCTGACCATCCAGCTTCTAGACCTGCAACAATAGGTCTCTCTAGTAGTTGTGCTTGACTACTCCCTGCAGCACAAGCTCCCCTAACTCATAGCCAACCAGCTTAGGGCATCCTTGGTCTAGAGAGTTACGACTAGAACTAGGGTTTTAGGAGAAAGGAAGAAAAACAAACTGAAAGAGAGAAAAAGAAAGGGAAAGAGCTGTGCAGATCCTAGGGCGGATTTAGTGCTCTGATACCATGAAGATTCCTAGCCCTAGTTTGGAAAAGAGGAGAGAAGAGAAGAAAAGGGAAGAAAAATTTTTGAAGAGAAGAATGAGAAGAAATCACTTCTCACAGCCCACTGTTGGTATTTAAATAAGAGCTTTACAATATTACATGAATGGACAAGTATGCCCCTGCTTAGGTGGCAGCAAGATACATAAACACAAACATAAAGCATAAGTAGATCAATATAAGCCCAGATCCATTACTCCAAATAATGGTGCAAGTACATGAAAGAAATAAAACAGGCCCAAGGTCATACTGTTAATCCCCACAATGGTTAGAATATAATTGTATATATGCTGTTTCATGGTTAATGTAATGTTTATTCTGTTATATTGATAAAAGGATAAATGGCACTTAACTGGGATTTTTTACAATTTCAGATTGAAAAGATTGTTCTGTTTCTGTTGGAAGAACAAGGGAGACTTGCGAGCAGGTTGGCTAAGCTTGGAGAGCAGCATGCTGCTCTTTTAGAGCAACCAGAGATATCCCAAATATCTGAATTACGAGAAGCGTATAGAACAGTTGGACAAGATCTTTTGAAGCTTCTCTTTTTTGTTGAGATGAATGCTATTGGCATCCGTAAGATAATGAAGAAGTTTGATAAACGTTTTGGATATAGATTCACAGATTACTATGTTACAACTCGTTTTAATCATCCTTATTCTCAGCTGCAGCAAGTGTTCAAGCATGTGGTAATATGCCCAACTCCTATGTACTTCTCATCACCTAAAATTTTTAAGATCCAAAGACTTGGTTAGGATCCTAAGGCTTCAAAACTCTGATTTCTTTTGTTTGTAGACTTATTTATTTTTAATTATGATATATAAAGAACTATGGTAAATGTTAATCATGCATTAGCATCTGAAAGGGTTGCCTCTTCCCTAGGATGAATGTATAATTGACCAATAAAATGGAGCATGTAGGGACTTGGGGCTGTTGTTGGAGCCATATCTCGCAATCTTGCAGATCTTCAGGAACGTCAAGGAAGCTATTTATCAATTTATGATCAACCTGCATTTCCTGTTCAGGTATTGTTTTCTATTATATTGATTGAATTGGTGCTTTTGTCCCCTATTCAAACTTCACCAGCACTATATTTTTTGTTGCTTTACATTTGTTTGAGAATTTAAATCATATTTACATGGATGGTGCTTTAATTGGTTTTCTGCAGGATTCTGTTATTGATTCAATAAAAGCAGCTGTAGACAGGTTAACACATTCAACAACCTTCCTTCAATTTTTGGGACAGCATGCTCTTATCATGCAAGAGGATTTGCCTACTCAAGTGGAGGAGCAAGTAGATGACCAGAGATATCATTTTATGTCACTTCTCTTGAATCTAGCAAACACATTCCTTTATATGGTTAACACATATATTATAGTCCCAACAGCAGACAACTACTCCCTCAGCCTTGGAGCTGCAGCCACAGTTTGTGGTATTGTGATTGGGTCAATGGCTGTTGCTCAGGTGTTTTCTTCAGTGTATTTCAGTGCTTGGTCAAATAAATCATACTTCAGACCTCTTGTTTTTAGCAGTATTGTTCTTTTTGTGGGAAATATCTTGTATGCATTGGCTTATGATCTCGACTCTCTAGCAGTTCTTCTAATTGGTCGTCTCTTCTGTGGGTAAGGGCATCCTCTATTTTCCCCTATGACATGATTACTGAAACTTCTTTTGTTCTTTCTTTATTTTTTTCCTAGCTCGTTGTGCTTGATGTTTATCAGGTTCTACACTTCTACTTCAGGTCACTCTTTGTCAAATTTTTGCAGAACATTCTTTTTTGATTGGTTTTGCAGACATAATATTTGTCTTAATATTGTTACTATATCAAGATTTACAAAGTTGGAATTATTTAGAAGATCTGCTCAACCTGATTTTAAACAAGCAATCCCAGACATGATTCAAAATTTCAGCTTTATGGGAATATTTCCATGCAAAAGTGGGATGTCCTGGTGATGCAGGAGCCTTATGGGAATATTGTCTATTTATAGTTTGTTCATGTTTGAAGTTTCAACGTCATTGAATAAGTAGGATTAGAGTTGTTGAGTCTTCTTTGAATTGAAATAGAATAATGACAATTCAGTTTGAGTCCTACTAGGATTATTACGAGTCTACATTTTTGTTTTGAGCCCTAGGATTCTTATGTGTCCAGAGTCTATCAATGTATGTACGTTTTATACAAATATCAATGAAGTTTATTGAGTTGTTTTGATCTTATGCTAATTATGCGAGTGGTTCCCATACCCTAGAGCATAGTTTTCAAGGTACCAAGGTGACCCTAGGTGACAGGGGAGCGCTTAGTCACCTAGTCGCTTAGACGCCCACCTAGGCGTCACTAGTGTATCAAATATAACCTTGCTTTTCCTAGTGTCCAAGGTTTGTTTCTCAAAAACAATCCTTCTCTTCCTGATGTTTCAAGTCTATTGTCTAAGAAATATCATTGCTTAGGAAAAGGAGCTAAACCTTTGTTTTTGTCATAGAAAAAAGAAGAAAAAATCAGAAAAATAAAGAAAAGGAAAGCTGAAGCGCCTGTTTTTGTCTCAGAAAAGTGAAAGCAATGTAGAGAGACTGGGCCGAATGGGCCCTAGCCCATTAGTGTCTTCTTTATTAGTTCTTTCTTGTTATTTGTTCTTAATGGGCCTTTAACTCTTGTTTATGTTTTCTGTAGAGATAGTTAATAGTGTGTGTGGTTCCAACCCCACACTTATTTATTATGTTTTTATTTCCTTTTATAGTTGGGCCGGCTGGGCCTTGTTTATCTTTTTTTTAATTTGTGTTGGAGTTTAAGTAGGGGTATTAGAGTAACTCCTACTCTTGTAAGGAGATGGACATTTATAAATAACAACTAATGGGGCTGCAGTAATATACAACCGAACCCCTTCCTTCTTTCTCTCTCTCTCTCTCTCTCTCTCTCTTCTTCTTCTTCTTCTTCTTCTCTTTGAACCTGTATTTCTTTTCTTAAATTACATCAGACCACTGCAGTATTCTATTTGTTTTGTTCAAGTTGTTATCAGAGCAAGATCTAGGGCTTCTCATGTGAGTCTAACCCAGCCGACCACATGAGAATTACCTAGGGCTGGAAGATTAGAAAGGAGCTTTCTTTGCCTGATTCTTGGAGGTTACCAGAAATCTTTAGCAGCTGTCTGAAGATTAGAGAGTGTTTTTTGGTAATTAGGAAGAATCAGAGAAGGTTAGAGGAATCAAGAAGGTGGCGATCAGAGTTTTCTGGGTAAGTTTTCATCTCTTCTTGAGGCCAGCAGTAGTAAGAAATACGTTAGATTTATCTAGAAGGTGCGGCTGAGAAAATCTGAGTTTTCTAGGGTTTATTCTTAACCCTAAGAACTGTTTTTTTATACTGTGAGCCTTTCTTGGAGGGTGCGGCTAAAAAAAAACCGGACTGTAAATATTGGACTGATTACAGTCCAGGTTTGTCTACTAGGGAGTTGACCTTTTGACTGTGTTTGCACTCTTGGAAAGGATCTATCGGCTGATTATAGTCCAGGTTTGTCTACTAGGGAGTTGACCTTTTTGATTGTGTTTGCACTCTTGGAAAGGATCTATCGGCTGAGTGTGGCTTTATCTCAGGCTTACTCATTAGTCCACAGTGAAAAGATTAGGAGGAAGGTTATGTTATCTTTTCAGCCCATAGAAGCGGCTTTGGCAGCAACAAAATCTAAGGTTGGAGGGGAGAAGGAAAGGGAAATTAAGAAGGAAGACAAAACAAATATTTTTTGTGATCATTGCAAGAAGCCCAAACACACAAGGGATACCTGTTGGAAGTTGCATCCTCACCTAATGCTAGCTAGACTTGGAAACAAGAAGGGGAGTGCTAATATAGCAACTACTACTGACAGTGCATCTTCTTCCAGCACAAGGACCACATCCTTGGATGCTTTAGCAGCTGTCTAGGCTGCACTGACACAACTAGAGAATGAAGCTGGTATTTTTGAATCTACATCTTAGTCTTCAACTACTACACTTGCTCATCCTACTTCAGCCCTTGCTCATACAGGTACAAGAGCTACCGCATGTCATGCTTCTGTCCCAGGTACTACTAGGCCTTTCTGGGTAATAGATTCAGGTGCTTCAGACCATATGACCAACTTATCTACTTTGTTTGCCACCTATAGTTTATCTTTTGGGAGAGACAAAGTTTTTATTGCTGATGGCTCCCTTGTGCCAATTTTTGGCAAGGGAGACATCAGATTGTCTGATGCCATCTCCCTATCCTTAGTTTTGCATGTTCCTAAGCTTAGTGCTAACTTGCTTTCAATTAGTAGTATTACTAAAAATTGTTTGTAGAGTGAAGTGGGGAAATTGTTTGTCTCTCAGTCTTGGAGTAAGATTATGCTTTGGCATAACCGATTAGGTCATTTGTCTTTTAGGTCTTTGAAGAGTCTTTTTCCAAATTTATTTGAGGCAGTCGAAGTGTCTAGTTTGAAGTGTGAAAGTTGTGAATTTGCAAAACACAATAGATCATCTTATTCTTTGAGTAATAAAAGAAGCAACATTCCTTTTGAAATTGTACATACCGATGTTTGGGGGCCATTATCATACTCCCACCGTGGGGGCGGGGGGGGGGCACAAATATTTCCTATTATTTGTTGATGATTATACCAACTTCTCATGGGTTTACCTTATGCACTCTCGAGATGAGGTCCCTTCTCTAACCCAGGCTTTTCCATCAGATGGTTCTAACTCAGTTTGAAATCAAGATCAAAGTTCTTAGATTCGATAATGCCAAGGAATACTTTGCAAAACCCTTGGCATCTTATCTCCTTGATCATGGGGTCATTCATCAGATCACCTGTCCTCGTACACCTCAGCAAGTGTTCGTTGAGAGAAAGAATAGACATATCTTAGAGGTAGACAGAAGCATCATGCTCAACTCTAATGTTCCCATACGCTTCTGGGGGGATGCAATCCGTACAACCGTTTACCTTATTAATAGGGTTCCTTTATGAGTTCTTAACATACAAACACCATTCTGCTTTCTGTATCCAGATAAGGACCTGTTCACTATTCCCCTCAAAACTTTTGGGTGTACTTGTTTTGTTCAAATCCTTGGACCTCATTGCTTCAAGTTTGATCCCAAAGCTATTAAATGTATTTTCCCTGGGTATGCACAAAATCAAAAAGGATATTGTTGTTATGAGCCTGTTTCAGGGAAACGTTTTGTGTCCATGGATGTCACTTTTTTTGAGGATATGCCCTACTACTATAGTGCTTCTCCTCAGGGGGAGAATGGTGAGGAAGGGATTTCAGTTTCAACCCCAAAAGTTCCTTTTACCTGTCCCAATTACTGAGGGAGAGTGTCGTGATAAGGGTTGTCAAAAGTGCAGGGAGTTGAGAGTGTATCATAGAAAGTGGTGGAGGCAGGTTGATTCCCATACTCAACAGCAATCCGGGTCAATCCCAACATCTTCTACAACCCCAGATCCAAACACTACCACTGCTCTGCTCCCACTGTTGAACCCACTATTACCGATTCTCAGCCTCCATCGTCAAATGACCTTGATCTTCCAATTGCAATTCATAAAGGGAAGCACCGTTGCACCTCATTCATTGCCCATTGTATCTCCAAGTTCCTTTCCTGTGGTTGTCTATCAGAATCCTATAGATCTTACCTGGCATTTATTGCTACTATTCCTATACCTAGAAAAGTGCAAGAAGCCCTTTTGATACCTGAGTGGAAGGAGGCAATGGAAGCAGAGATGGATGCTCTTGTTAAGAACAACACATGGGAACTACTTAACCAGCCTTAAGGGAAGAAACCTATTGGATGCAGATGGGTGTTTACTGTAAAATTATAATGCTGATGGTACTGTAGAGAGGTATAAGGCTAGATTAGTTGCAAAGGGATTCACACAAACTTATGGCATAAACTATATGGAAACCTTTGCACTTGTTGCAAAGATGAACATTATCAGAGTCCTATCCATTGTTGCGAACTTCTCATGGCCACTGTTTCAGTTGGATGTTAAGAATGCTTTCTTCAACGAAGACTTGCAAGAAGAGGTATACATGGAGTTACCCCTTGGTTTTTATAGTATAGAAGCAAGAAAGAAAATTTGCCTACTGAAGAAGGCTTTATATGGGCTGAAACAATCTCTGAGAGCTTGGTTTGATAGGTTTAGACCAGCTTTGGACAAATTCGGCTACATACAGGCTTAGTCAGACCACAATCTCTTCTTTAAGAAGACAGGTCTTTCCCTGACCCTACTTGCAGTCTATGTAGATGACATTGTGATAACAAGGAGTGATATTAGTGAGATTGAATCTCTTAAACAACATCTTCACAAGGAATTTGAAGTGAAGGACTTAGGGGAATTGCACTATTTTCTGGGAATTGAGGTAGCTCGATCTAAGCATGGAATTTTTATCTCTCAGAGGAAGTATGCTCTTGACTTATTGGAGGAATTTGGAAAGTTAGGAGTTAAACCAACGCACACACCTATTGAGCTTAACCATAAAATAAGTGCAGAAAGTGGAGAACCTCTTGAGGGGACAGGGCTATGTACCAAAGGCTGGTTGGGAAACTTCTTTATCTCTGCCTAGCCCTCGGCCAAATATTTCATATGCTGTTAGTGTTGTTAGTCAATACATGCATTCTCGTAGGATCACT